TCGATCAGAAGCCTGGGAAGATGACAGGTCAAGGCTGACTCTGGATTGTACCTTTTACTGAAATAGAGAAACTGGTCTACAACAAAGAGTTATCAAACCTTTAAATATGAACTGCAAAGATATTATATTGTTTTCCTGTGGTGCTTTTTTTTTTTTTTTTTTTAGATGTTTCTGGGTTTTTTTTTTACAAAGCCTACTATGGTCTGACTGTGTCCCCCTGAAACTCACATGTTGAAAGCCTGATGCCCAAGGTGATGGAATTAGGTGACTAGATCACCCAGGGCACGAACCCGTGTCCCCTGCATCGGCAGGCGGACTCTCAACCACTGCGCCTCCAGGGAAGCCCTCCTGTGGTGCTTTTTACATATAAAACACTTTCTATGCAAACAGTAATAAGTTCTCAAATGCTTTTGTGTAAAATCCATGTTCAATAAGCAAACCACAGTCAGGGGATTATGAATTGCTAAGGACTACGGAAGCAGTATTTTGTAAGCCAGTAGTAGGATCAGGTAGTGGCTAAGTATGGAATTCTTCTAACCTCATTAATATCTTTTATAAACTAATACATATTTTTAGGTATAATATTCTGAATTCATTATAATTCCTACAGCTGTCAATAAGTCTAGTTAATTTAGAGTAAGAAATACGAAAAGCAAATTGGGGTAGGAATTGTGATCTCTGAGATCAATGAGTACTTCTTAAGCAAAAACTGATTCTCCTTTAGATTGTTATTTACAGCATGTAACTATACGCTCTTTCCATAAGTATAACCCCCTTGGTGTTCTGCTAATAAGACAATAATTAATAAAAATGCTTAATAATCTGTAGAATAGTACAAAACTGAAATATTCATAAGATAAATATTTACATATTTAGAAAATGTGAGTGATGAGAATTATAGGTGTAGTTATTTGGAAGCTGAAAGAAGGCCTATGCTGAAAGAAGGCCTGAGAGACAAACTATTCAAACTTGGGTATTTGGTTAATGTTTTCTCAAAATGAACAAAGTGGGTCTGCCACTTGAAAGAAAACAACTGACAGTCTTAGTAGCTCAGCGGTTCTCAACTGGCGCTGTTCTGACCCCCAGGTGACATCTGGCAATGTTTGGAGACCTTCTTCATTCTCACACCTGGAGGGTGTAGGGGAGATGCTACTAGGTAGAGGTCAGAGATGCTGCTAAACATCCTACAATGTGTAGGTAGCCCTCACAACAAGGAATTCTCTGGCCAAAAGCAACAATAGTGTCAAGGTGGAGAAATCCTGTGAGTGCCAGTGATAAAAGCTAAGCTTTCAAACTAAAAAGTAAAAAAATTTAAATTTATTTTTACTTCATCTGTCACCATAAGCATGACAGTTTCCCAATACTTAAAGACTTTTCTGAGGAGATAAGTGGTGACATTAACGAATGTGAATTTTTGATATTGTATAATAAAATGTGCCAACACTTGGAAGATCCACGTAACTCAGTGAACTAATGTGTTCCAAATGACCAATACATGAGGTTAAAAAATTATGCTTGGTTAAAAAATCCATTCAAAGTACAAAATATATCAGTGGATTTTAATGCAGCAGAACATAAAAGGTTAACTGCTATGGTTTCAGATTCCACACTTCAATAACTTTAAGAAACTACTACTAGTTAAGTTTTAGTGTAATATTAAAGAAGAATTTCCACAATTTTCTGAAAAGGCTATTAAAATACTGCCTTTTCTAGTTACATATCTGTGTAAAGCTGAAGTTTCTTCATACACTTCACCAAAAGAATGTATTAAATAGACTGATTCAGCAGCAGATATGAAAATCCAGCTGTCTATATTATATTAAATCAGGTGTTTTAAAAATTTGCAAAAATGTAAAATGCCACTATTTATACCTTTTTCTGAAAATGGTTATTTGCATTAAAATATATTATTTATGTTACCATATTATGGTCTCCTACTGTTACTATTAAATTAGTTACTATTTTAAAAGTTTCTCAGTCAATTGGCAAATTTACTGATATTGGTAAATGTGAACAGAAATAGATATAACCCACATAGATAAAAGCTCCTTGGCAGTCCTCAATAAAAAGAGTAAAAGGAGTTCTGAGACTAAAAAGTTTGAGAACCACTGATTTATATATTGTAGTTCTTGAATGCTGACCTTTGGATTACTAAATATCCCTATTTTCCAGGTATTGGGACAGAGATTAAATTATGCAAAACTCTAGGTATAAAGTTTGAAAAACAGAGTATTTGAAATCTCCCAAATAAAACAAATCTTATGTTCCCTACAAGATCAACTGAAAGCTACCACAGGCATATACATATGACTAAAATGGCTTTGAAATTAATGACAGTGTAACCAGAAACTGGAAATGAAGCCATTGCAAGGTATTTCCAGCCTTAGCCTTTGCCATCATAGCCATTTTTTAATCCCTGTTATCTTCAAATACCCTGCCATCTTCCAAAATGCTATATGCCACGAAGTCTTACCAACTTTACAGATATGAGTTTATTAAAGAAAACTCTTGCCAGTTAAAGATATTAAGGAATTATTTGCAATATAACAACTTTATTTAACTCATTAGGTGCCAGGATGTTACCAACATTTATGTCATGAGAAACAAACCAAATTATTAAAAACGTGTGTTTCAATATGTTTCAAGACTGAAAAGGTCTATTTTGCCTATCACAAAACAAAGTAATTGTTTACTTTGATAAAGCATTTGAAGATGGCCCTGTCCTCGTGAGAATTAAGGTAATACAATAGTATTTTGCTGATGTTACTAATATTACATCTAAATAAACAGGTGTATTAATATGTATTTTATAATGACATAAAAAAAACAAACCAAGACCTATCATCATTAGGGTGAAGAATGGTTAAATCTCCAGGCTGGAGAGGGCATACCTACCTAAAGCTTTCAAAGATGAAAGGGAGACTACGTTAAAATATCTGCCTAGGTTTTTCTGTGAGCATTGAATATATAACTTTGGAACATCTCTCATACAAAAATATCGAGTGACATGTTGCTTTCCCTCCCTCCTTTTTCAAGAGTATAGAGAGGTTAAGACTGTGAGCTCTGGAATTGGAGTGCTTGGGTTTAAATTACTGCACCACCATTTACTGGTAGTATAACACTGGGCGAGGTACTTAACCTTTCTTGTGCCCCAGTTTCGTTATCAGTAAAATGGACACAACAACAGCAACTATCCCATAAAATTGTTGTACAGGCCACCTGAAAAAATACATAATATGTGATTTAAAACAGAGCTTGATAAACAAGAAGCACTCAATAGATGTGAGCTATTATTGTTGTTATATTAAGTATTATTGTTACCTAATTCCCTAAACTACATAGGGTAGCAACCACAAAACCACGGTATCCAGGGCTGACATGACATGACAGATGTAGGAACCTACGTGACTATGAATTTTTTCCTTACCAACACTAACATTCCTTTAGTTGAAGGAGGGAGATGGATACTAACAATTACTGAGTAAGAGCTAGTATAAATGAGAGGGCTAAAATTAAAAAAGAAAGTTGTTAGCATTGAAGTGAATTTAGAAATAACTAACAATAAATTTTAAAGTACTAGGTCACAAAAGCGTTATATTACAGATTTTACAAAATTTTACAGACTCTCCATAATAATATAATTATATATATTTTTTCTAGAAGATTATATAATACTAAGAGATGAGTGGACGCTGAAAAAAAAAGGTACTGTTTGGATCAGTACCTTCTGTCTAAAGCCTTGAGACTAAGGAAAGAAATAGCAATTTCTAGAAAACATAAACAGGTAAATAAAACAAAAAAACCATTGCCTTCTCATGTGACAGAGGGCACATCCAACTTAGAAAAAAATTAATTGTTGGGTGTTAATTACTATAATACGTCAAGTATCTAGCATCACCACTATGCAACACTTTAGGTTTAAAAGGTGCAGAGTTCCCTCACCGAGCCATTTGCTGAACGCTTACAGATGAACTAGGCACTGTACTCGTACTAGATATGGAGGAGACAAAGGTGAAGGAAATACAGCGCCTGCTTCAGGACATGCACAGCCTTTTGGAGAAGACACATATGTAAACAAATAATTCAAGTACCACAAAATAAATATTTTAAAAATAGCGATTTGAATGGACTGCTCTGGGAACTTTGAAAGGGACACGGCTCACTGCCAGAAAAGACTTTATGAAAGAGGTAACATTTGAGCTGGATCTTAAAGGTGAACAAAGAGTTTTCAGGATGAAGGAGAGACATTCCAAATATAGGGAACAACACGTGTGCAAAAAGTATCAAGTAATGAGTTTGGAGGACGGTGACATTTCAGGTAAGGCACCCAGTGCTGCACTGGGTGCCTGAGGGGAAAATGAGGCAGGAGAAGGAGGTCTCAGGCCATGTCAGACTGCATCTCCTGTGCCTTGGGCAATCCTGTGAGCAATGAGGTCCCCGTAAAGGTATTCCACCAGAAAAGTGACACAGTTTGGTTTCTTAGAAAAACAAGTCTGGGGCTACTCTGGAGGATGCACTTAAATAGAAGACAACTCAAATCTGAACCTGCTAAGTAAGAACCCTGTTAAGCTATTATTCTCATCTTGCCTGAAAAAATAAGCTGCTTTAACAAAATAGTATCCCTAAACAGATGATCACAAATCAACGTAAACTGCCATCATCAAGATTAAGAGAACCAAACTATTTACACAAATATATCATATTAATGAATTATTATAGTGATCTCATAGAAAATTATTAATAGGGCTATAATAAAACAAATATTCATCTCCAGAACAAAAGTAAAATATTTTTTAAAAGGACAAAATATTATATATACTCCAAAATATCAACTACAAAGTAGTTTTATTTTTACTTCTTCATACTTTTGGGTTCTTTTGAAATTTTCCACAATAAGCAAGGAATATATTTATAATCATTAATAAATTTTAAAAGCATTCACTGTTCATTGCATTTCATAAACAATTATCTTTATAAAAATTCTAAAACTAAAATATTACCTTTTTGTCCCCTTGTTTTCGTCTTCTTAACCCTGGTCTATAATCATCTCCAAATCTCAGAAAGTAATAGTAAGAAACTAGCCTCTCAATAGGATCCCTTATGACATTAATGTAAATTGGTTTCTTCTTCACACCAAATCTGAAATAGAGAAAAATTTAAAAGGTGAAATCAACCCTTTCATTCTGTTTGGGGTGTCCTGAAATTGAAGTTTGAATTGAAGGTTGAAGTATTAATTCTATATGGAAAAAAACATGAGTTAATTTAAATAAAATACAGTATGTGGAGATTAGAAAATATTTTAGGATTATACTACAATAAAGTAAATAAGAAATAAGAATTTTAAAATTACAACTGAAGATAAAGGAGAGAAGGGAAAATTGAGTGACAAATAATTTTAAATTTTCCTAGCAAGAATTAAATAAAACATTTCAATTTCACATAGCAATGATTTCTCACTTCTGACCCACCAAACTAGATAAACATTGTCAATGGGTACAGCAGAAGTCCACACAAGCGCGATCATTTGAGCGTAACTTCTGTGACGCTAATTTTAAAGACAAGATAGAAGTGAAAAACATTAAGTCTTCAGCATTATTTCCTTAGGGAATGATAGAGAGTTGGAGGAACACAGAAGGAGTATATTTTAGCCACCCTTGCAGATCCTAGAATTGTCTAGCTGATTCCTGTTCTAATATCCTCACTTATCCCAGCCTTAAACCTTAGTGTTACCCTGACTCTCCTTTATTCTTCTTTAGCACGGTTACCAAGTCCTTCTGATTTTTTCTTTCGTAGGCTTTCTCAGAGATTTGACCTGTCTTCCTCACTTCCTTTCTTGTCACAACTGCCCTCTTTGTAGGCTTCTTGCTTGGATTACTGCAATAATTGATGGTTTTATAATAATAAGAATTGGTTTTCTTGCATCCAGTCTCTCTCCCTTTCAGTCTACCTTCATACCAATTCTCAACTGGTATTTCCTCATTTATTAGATCACTCTTCTTAGAAACCTGAAATACCCCTACTGTTTATGTTGACTTCAAACCCAAACTCCTTTGCTTGGTTGTTAATGTGAGCTTGCCTTATGTCTTGGGTTCCACCTTACTTATCTAACTTTATTTTCAACTCTCCTCAAACAAGAAACATCTATCTGTTACAGTTAGGCCCACCTCTTCTGCTTCCCAACAACTCCTATTTCTCCTTACATGCCTTTGCTCATTCTATCTTCCTTAACTAGAATGCCTTTCTCATTTTCCTATTCTTTCTGTTACATTCATTCATTCAAAAAGTACCTTTTTGTGTATCCAGTATATGCCAGGAACTATTCTAATATTAGGAAAACAGCAGTGAAAAAAAAGGACAAAATTCCTCGTCCTTCTGGAGTTAACATTCTACTTGGGAGAGACAGAACATAAACCAATAAATAAGTAAATATGTTAGACGGTAAAAATACTAAGGAGAGAAATGATGCAGTGCATGGAATAGAGAGGAGTGGGGAGAGTACAATTCAAAACAGGATTTTCCAGGGAGGCAGCACTATTATTATGTGATGAGAAGAGAGCCATGTAGATATCTAGGAGAAAGTGTTCCAGGAAGATAAGACTTCGAAGTATGAAGGCCCCAAAGCCGCTAAGTGCCAGGCATTTTTGAGGACAAGCAAGGAGGTCAATCTGGCTGCAGCAGAATCAGGAAAGGGACAGTAACAGAGAATGGGAATGGAGAGATGGGGGTGGTGGTAGAGGACGTGCAGATCACGTGGGCCTTGTAGAGCGTGTTAAGTATCAGGAGGGAGGCCTTCCTGAGTCAGCAGAGAAGTGTCACAATATGGAATCTGATGTACAGCATGGTGACGATAATGAACAATACTGTACATACTGTATACTTGAAAGTTGCTATGTCAGTAGGTTTTAAATGTTCTCATCACGACAGCAGCGACAACAAGATGGTAATCATGTGAGGTGAGGATGTGTTAACTAACCTTATTGTGGTAAACATCTCACAATATATGTGTATAGCAAATCATCACATCGTACACCTTAAACTTACACCATGTTATATGTCGATTATGTGTCAATAAAGCTGGGGGAAAAAAGGTTATTGGCTGTTGTTTTGGAATAAACTGAAGCGGGCAATAACAAAATCTTGTGAAGTCTAGGAAGTCTTCCTGATGACTCCAGCATACAGTGCTATCTGCTTTCATTTGACACCTGCACCCAGGAACTATTGCTATCAGGCAGTTTTACTCTTGGCTTGTCCTGCTAGCATTTCTCTTGTAAGTCTTTCCTCCCCAATAGCATTATAAGCCACTTGAGGATAGGCAGAGTGCTTCACACCTCCTTTATATACTTCACAGGGCCTGGTATACATAAATACTTGCCCGCTGGTTAGTACTATTTGAAAGATTAAAAAAATATTAGCAATCTCTCTAAAACTGGGAATCACAGTGAGAAATGAGAAAAGTAAGCTTAAGTTGTATGACTCAATAAGAGATAGTGAAAGTTGCTTATTCTCTTGACAGTCTTGATATGTTCACTCGTCTGTCCCCAGAAACCCTCAATTTAGCTAACTGCTTATAACAAATTTCCCTTCTTACTAAAATATTTTTTCAAAGGCACTAAAAAGCACACAGCTAACCTCACTAGTTTCACATTTTCCCCTTACTTCTGCCTGTTACAATAAATGTCTTACGCACAGCAGGCATTCTATAAATGTTTTATACTAAATGCTTAAGCAAATGAGTAGTGAAAAGAGACCACAGAAGAGAAAAAAGCAAGGTGCCTGGATATAACTCGATTCTTTTAGCTTCTGAATTATTGTAAATTAACTGAACAGGAAGTCCTAACTTACAAACAGGCTGTATTCTATAAAATTGCTTTGTGTGTACAAAGGGGTCAACTCTCCTGAATTCTAGTCCTTTTCTCACCATTAAGTAAGTGTAAGTCTAAGTCACTAAAATCCTTTGTATATATGGAAATACTGAAAACTACACAGAACTTTTTGGTAAAACATTATTATATTAAATTTGTGAGTTGGTTTATTAGAACTTGGGACATATTCTTTTCACTGAACAACTCATAAACCTATAAAACCAACAATACAGTAAAAAAAATTTTTCACAAATTTTTAAAGGAAAAAGCAGTATTGTTGCAAATATACGGCACTGTCAAATTAGGTATCAGGGTAGAAGCTCCATGAGGGCAGAGGATTGTTTCTCTCTTGTTCATGGCTTTATCACTAGTGTTCAGTAAGGTGTCAGAAACATAGGTGTTGGATATTAAAATTAGGTTGAATAGACCGTTGTGAATTGGCCACTTACAAAAGCCTTTTTGTGGGACAGTGCACCCACTAGTGAGAAGAAGGTAGGTAGGGAGGTATCAGGGATACACAGTTGCTACCTTAACTGCTAGAGCTGTCTTGTAAGAGGAATCTAAAAGGGGGAAGCACAGAGCAGTGGGGCAATGACTCCATTCTTAAGACTGTGGGATTCCCTGGGAACCTCCTTTGTCATCTCCATTATTAGCCACTGATCCACGTGAACTATTCCCTTGGGAATTACCTCGTCCCAGAACATCTCCTACCAATGCCTCTTCTTTTTTGCTTTCTGCTAGTCCCTGACACATGGAACAGATAGCAATTCTTACCAAGTAGAAGTGAAAGGGGGATATGGCACTTGACAAAACTCTTCCTGCTGTCTGGGAAATGACTTTCTGGGGCATGGCTTTGGGTGGTGCTTATATGTATGAAACATGATTTTAATGAGATAACCTGTGTGAACTTATTCTGAAAATGGCTAAGAACTATTATTTATAAGTTAGGGTATGGTTGTACAGACAAGGCAAGGAATTATAACTGAAAACGGGCATGATAAAAGAGCATCAGGCCATTCAGCTCAGCTAGTTAGGAAACAAGCATCCTCTTAAGTTTGTATGTTTAAAACTTTTGCCAAGGGGCTTCCCTGGTGGCGCAGTGGTTGAGAGTCCGCCTGCCGATGCAGGGGACGCGGGTTCGTGCCCCGGTCCGGGAGGATCCCACATGCCGCGGAGCGGCTGGGCCCGTGAGCCATGGCCGCTGAGCCTGCACGTCTGGAGCCTGTGCTCCGCAACGGGAGAGGCCACAACAGTGAGAGGCCCGCGTACTGCAAAAAAAAAAAAAAAAACAACTTTTGCCAAACAGGTAGTTTTGTACCAGTGGAAAAATACGTTCTGTAGTTGCAGACTCCAGCTTTAACCCTGGTCAGTCATCTGAGCTTTTCCTCAGGAGGGCTCAGATGGAAGAGTAGAAAACCCATCTTCCCTCCAGGAAACTAAACTATCATTGACCCATTAGAACATAATCTTCCTAGGAAGAGAACAGCAGATTTGGAAGGAATCTGCAATGTTATATGGAGATCAAAAGGGAAAAAATATAGCAGGTTGGTAAGAAACCTTATTCTTGCCATGTCAGCATACATGTACAACAGCAAGAGAGACAAACCAGGCATGTTTCCTTACACCCACACTCTGTATAGCCTAGATAGATGAATGAACAGCAAGAATAGCTAAAAGAACAAGTGCATACTCAGAACTTTTGAAAGGAACCTTGTCAACTGGCTAGACAAAGCCTAAGTGGAAGATGATGAAGCTGAAGGAGGGCTGAATAGCCTTTGGGAAGCATTAACGCTTTGAGATTTCTGCTTCATACCAGATTTAACACTTCTAGTTAATCAGCAGTCTCACAGGGGGAACAAAGATATCTTATACAGTCAACCTATGGTTGGATGAATCTGTGGATACGGAACCTGCAAATAACAAGGGAGGACTGTGCATATTTATTCTGGACTCTCTTATCCCTAAAGTGTTCAGAGAAAGCTTCAAATCCTTCTAGTGGTAAGTTCCCATTGTCTTGTTTCAAAAACAGTGAATGACCTGTTGGTATTTATTGGTCCCACTGACAATGATGTTAAGAATAAAAGAGTTTTAAAATAATTATTTATCTCTTAAAAAGAGCATTCATCTATTAAAATGGCCCAAATTTTAAAAAGGGGGGAGTGTGGTCCAACAATACCGAAGGCTGGTAAGGATACACAGCAACTGGAACTCTCGTGCACTTTTGGTGAGACTGCAAAATAATAAAGCCACTTGGGAAAACAGCTTAGCCGTGTCTTA